CTTGAGCCACAGGCGCCGAGCCCCCTGCTGTATACTTTATTAACATTGCCATAAATTTTTGCTCTCTGAGAAAATACCACCTAGCAACAGAAAAAGGATCTAGCAAAGATTTAGAGTAACACAGGATATCAGCTTGCAGTTTAAAATTTGCCCAAGATAATTTACAAAGGCAATGATAAACACATGTACGCACACAATCAAGCACTAAGTTCACTTGCTTTGTCCCCCACCCAAGCCTTAGGGACACCTGCACCTTGAGCTGGATGCAGGCTTCACCAGCTGATACTGTGGGAGAGGGTAGGTTCTATTCAGCACTCTTCTGGGGAGTCCACACGCAGGTCTGAAGTCATTCAGCAAGTGCTCCAGGATAGGAGGGATTTAGGATGAGGCGTTTCCAGTCCCCTCAACCTGGTACAAAAAAATGAGGTGGACGCATGTAGTGTTCAGACCTGAACAGCCACTGCTCTCAGCCTGGGCAGCATAGTAAGATCTCGTCTCAAAAATAAAATTAAAATTTATATGTATTTTTTTTTAATTTAAAAAAATGAAAAGGAGCACTTGGAAACATCCTCCAGGAATACCTCCCCTCCAGAGGCGACACTTGTCTGTGTGCCAGACACCACTGCAGGAGCCACTAGTCTTTGCCAGACTAAACAGAGATCCCTGCCCTCTAAGACTTGACTTTATTCTGTAGGGAGACATTAAGTAGTGACGATTGCAAATGAGTAAATTGTAGAATAATTTGGAAGGTAATGAGTAATATGGGGAAAGGGCAAATTGTAGCAGGATGAGGGATTGAGAAGGTGGGGAGGCTGCACTTTTAAGCAGGGAGGCCAGTGGTCACAGAGAATCACATTTAAGCAAAGTTTTAAAAGGGAAAGGAATAGGTGGCATTGAAAGTATGAGACAGAGCCTAGTAGTTGAAGCAAACTAAGGTCCAAAAGAAGCTGAATGGGATTAGAACACACCCATGTTTTTCAGTTTCTTCATGCATTTCTCTTGGGGGGCTTCATGGTGAACCTCAGGATACTGTTGACTCATTACATACTGCAAACCCTGGCCTCAAGGAGCTCTAGAAGTCCTTGTCCTTACGTGGCTTTCTGTCCCCTCTAAAAGACCTTCAGCGCAGGCAGCCACCCGAATGGGAAGTGATTATTGGGGGCCCCCAGGTAAGGGCTGTCATGCCTCCTCCATGCTCAGCCCATTTATGCTTGAATATGATCAATGAGTTGGCCTTGTGCAACCATGAGAAGTCTCTTTATGCCTTAATTAAGATTGATTTTAGTTTTACTTCCAAAAAGAGGGTAAATCTCCAGCCCTTAAAATGGTCACTTAGGCAAGATAATGAGAAACCCTTCTAGGAGGTGCTGAGGCAACTGGAATGGGCGTTTCGGGACTGGCTGACCTCTCAGAGGAGGTGTGGGTTTCACTGCTAGGGTGCTGAGCAGCTCCTCTCCCACCTGGCGCCTGACCTTGGGGCTGAGCAATCAGCCTTCTGGCCACTGGCCACATTCAAGGAGGGCACAGGGGCAAGACCTGCTGCAGAGCTGTGCTGGCCTCAAGCAAGGAGAGGAATGTCTGTCCACGTTGTTTCATGGCAAGAATAGATGCATACCTCAGGTTTTATTAGCAGGGAGGCAGCCCACCCTGTATCTTCTGTTAACAAAAGCATCCCTGCATTCCAGCTGTCACCAAGGTCTCTAGAGTTTAAGAAGAAAAGAAAAGATGATTTTTTCACTCTAGCCTGACTTCTTGGCAAGCATCTGGTGCAATCTCCCAAACTCACTTTTGATCCAGGCAGTAGAAATGCAAGCTTATTTTAACATTAGCCAAATTATTCAGAAAGTAAAAAGTACTGCCAAAGAAAAAAGGGATGGGTTCCAGAGCCAAGTACCCATTTTCAATTATCCATGCCTGTGCTCCTTCCATTAGTCTATGTAACTGGGAGGTGACTGCTTGTCTGTGCCCTCGCAAGGACAGGTGTAGAGTGTTGTAGTGTCTGCCCATATCACCGGTGCCCCCACTCATGCTCTCCCGTGAGTGGTCTCCCTCACGTGCCTTATTTTGCACACCTCTCTCACACACTGAAAATACATTCTAAATGCAGAGGGGGGCATCACAGCGAGCACACATCAGGTATGCATGTTACTTTTTTTTTTTTTTTTTTTAACCAGGTAAGCCCCATCTCAAAAATTCTTTAGGGAACAGCTCTCAGAAGAGAGAGTGACCTGGTTAGGTCTTAAAATGGCTTTTCCTTTCTCTTCCTACCTCCTCCCTGCCTTTGGTGATCAACACTTGGCCTCCCCCTTCAGCTTTGTGACCACCACCTTCGTGATGGAGGCCATGGCAGCAGCCAATGCCCAGCTCCGCTGGAAGAGGATGGAAAACCACAAGGTGTGTATGTTGCCCTTGTCTCTGGGGGGTGTCTCCCCTCAGCTACCCAAGAGGCAGTCTCAGCTGCCCATTCTTCCCCTCCTGATGCAAGGAGGGCTCTGTCCACAGCACTGCTCTGGGAGCCTAGTGCCAGAGCTGAGGCTTAGTCGCCATATACAGCTTAGAGAACACACACAGCCCCTGCTGTGGACACCGAGGGCTTGGTCCCTCCCACCCCCACCTGGGGCTAGCTCAGTCATTCTCAACCTCTGTAGCCAGGAACTGTCGTGCCACTTCTTCCTGAGCACCACCTTCTAAGGTGGCAGCACGGACATGCTGAGAGCTTCCTAATCAGATACCTTCTAGAAATAACAAAGGAAGTGGGTTCACCATTGGCCCGGGGTCTTCTGCAGAGTTAGTTACTCCTTTTTGCTTGGTTTTTTCCTCCTCTTCCTCTTCATCTGTCCCACCACCTCCCAGGAGGAGGAAGACGATGACTCCTCCACAGCCTCAGACAGTGATGTTCTCATCCAGGACAGCTACGAGCGGGCAGAAAAACGGCCCATCCTGTCTGTGCGTAAGTCTTGGGATTCTGGGCTGGCCCACAGTGTACCCCTTCTTTGTAGACAGGACCCTGGGAAGTCTCTCTGTACACACCCCCTGGCATTTTCTGCCCATGGTTGCTTCCTACATAGGCACATGGAGAGGACAAGGAGCACAGGCCTGGCCCTGTTAGCTTTGCCACTTGCTAATGTTTGTAGCGTGGTAAGTTCTTTGACCTCTGTGCCTCAGTTTCCCCCTTCTCCTTCTGTTATTGAAATAATTAAGTGCCTGGTTCTGTGCCTGTTGCACTGGAAGCTTGAGAACATGTCAGCTTTTCTTCCTCCTACCCCAGCCCCTGCCTGGCTGTCAGGTGCCTGCCGGGCTGGGCCCAGGCTCAAAGCCCCCATTCTCCTCACCCCATGAGGAATGTCTCCAAATTCCCTTTTAAAAGGTAGACTATTTTGAACCATTGCAAGCAGGAAACATTAGGAAAGATTTTTCCCAAGTTTGAGATGCCTGGGATTTCATCAGTCTGGAGAATGCAGTAAGCTTAACAGCACCCTCGAGAAACTCTTCCAAGAGGAAGAACCACTTCCTCTTCCTTGTTCTTTTGGCTTCACAGAGAGACGTGGATCTCCCAACCTTTTCGAGATCACAGACCGTGTGGAAATGGGACAAATGGCCTCCATGTTCTTTAATAAAGGTAGAAGTTCTTTCTGGGGTTGGGGGTGGGGAAAGGGAGGGAGCTGGCACTTTCTGCTGACCTGGGCCCTTGTGGTGAGGGTTCCACCTTGCTGACAGGCACACTGTTCTAGATTCCTGCCTGCCCACTGGCATTGAGAATACAGAAGTGGCTGCTCTAGCTGAGTTAGGGATCCCAGACAGCTTTCCAGTGAAGGAGGCTGATGGAGGCTGGCGGATGGCTTCACGCCTCTTGCTTGATTGCGTCTGACCTTGCTGTCTTCTGGCCTGTTCTGTCCAGGACAATTCCTTGTGACAGCGATCGGGTCTGTTGCACGATCACCAGGGCCTGTATTCCCTGTGGCCAGCAGAGGGCGCTGGGAGCCCACGCCCAGGCCAGTCCTGAGAACCTCAGAGAGCCCTTTAGCGTGGTGAGGAACCTGCCGCAAGGGTTGGCTATCTCTGACATGCCAGCTGGTATGTTCAGGGGTCTGGCTGCAACCTGAAGGGATCCCCCAACTCAGATGTTGTCTTGTTGGGTGTTCCAGGGACAACATCTTTCACCTCCACAATAAATCTTGTTCTTTTGGAAGGTGAGCTCTTTAAGAGCTCAGTTTTTAATGTCCAAACCTATTGTTAAGAGTCTGACACATTCTCAAAAAAGCCTCCCCCTTGCAGCTATCTTGGAAGATTTTCTGTCCCTTCGTCAAAGCCCCGTTTTGCCAACTGGGCTGTGCCCACCGGTTCTTTCCAGTCTTAAATGTGGCTGCACTTAACTTTCAGCTGCCAGGAGTGGGGGTGGGGGATATGGTAGAAAATAGAATCTTCTTGACTGCTTTTAGGACACTAAGCATTTGGTTTGTCATCAGCAGTGAAGACTGTGATTAGCAGCTAAAGGTTGCCCAAAGGCCTCGTTCCACCATCCCCAATGGACCATCCTCACAGAGGGTTTTCAGAATTCATCGAAACCTAGTGGCTATGTTCAGCCAGCATCTGTGCTTTCCTGGGTTCCATTTCTATCACTCTCCATCTCACCAGCCTAAGAGAGCATAAGCATTTCCTCCTGGCAGCCACACAGAGTCCCCTTCCAAATACAAGCTTTTAAAATAAAATGCATGTTGGAGAGAGAACATATACCTTTAAACCTCTTTCTCATTTTCATATTCTGCCATCTGCCCTGATTTCTTTAAGAATTCTAGGAACAGGCTCGGCCCCTATAGCTCAACCGACTAAGGCGCCAGCCACGTACACCTAAGGTGGCGGGTTC